GTGGAAAAAATGAGCTATTGCCAATCCAGTAAATGTAATAATTTGTCCAAATTGTGGGTTCATTCCCCAATTCACAGGACTACCTACAGGAGGAACAGAAAGAGTAGAGACCACCACAGCTCTGAAGACCACCACAGCCACTTTGACCACTAGAGTCTCTGCTCCCACTTCAGAAACACCGACTGTCCTTGGGACATCAGGGAAAACAACCAGCAGGAGTACAACAGGAATAATCATCACAACCTCAAATGTTTTTTCTGATGTTCCAGAGATGACAGCCTCAATAGCCACCAGACTTGGAACAGAGACCACAACAGCTGTTCCCAGGGCAACCCCATCTGTTTTCAGTAGAGAACCAGAGACAACAGCCTCACTAGTCCCTAGTTCTGGGACAGAGACCAGTCCAGCTGCTCAAATTCTGACTGTTTCCTCTGGTGAACCAAATACAACAGCTTCATGGGTCACCCATCCTGCAGAGACAAGCGCAACGGATCTCAGGACAACTGTGGATTTCTCCCACAGTGAATCAGACACCATACCCGCAACAGCCACAAGTCCTGAGGCAGAAGCCAGTTCAGATGTTTCAATAACAAATATCTCACCTAGTGTACCAGATGTGGTAACCTCACAGGTCACTAGTTCTAGGACAGACACCAGTGTGGCCATTCCAGCTATGACTCTTTCTCCTGGTGAACCAGAGACCACAGCCTCATTGTTCACCCAACTTGGTGCACAGACAAGTTCAGCCATTACAACTTCGACTGTCTCACCCAGTGTATCAGGGATGGTGACCTCACTGGTCACTAGTTCTGAGGCAGAGACAAGTAAAACTACTCCAACTCTGACTGTTTCTTCAGGTCTACTGGAAACCACAACCTTGTGGGTCACCCATTCTGGGACAGAAGCCAGTTCACCTATTCCAATTCAGACTACATCCCCTGGGGAGGCAGAGACAACAGCCTCATTGGTCTCTCATCCTGCAGAGACCAGCCCAACAGTTCCCAGGACAACCTCCAATTTTTCCCATAGCATAACCTCAATGGTCACCAGTCCTGGGGCAGCAGTCAGTTCAGCTGTTGCAATTATGCCTGTTTCACCTGGGGTACCAGGATTGATGACCTCACTATTCACTAGTTCTAGGGCAGTAACCAGTGCAAGCATTTCAACTCTTACTCTTTCTCCTGGTGAACGAGAGACCACAGCCTCATTGCTCACCCAACCTGAGGCACAGACTAGTTTAGCCATTTCAACTCTAACCGTCCCCTCTAATGTACCAGGACTGGTGACTTCACTGGCCACTAGTTCTAAGGCAGAGACCAATACATTTTCAACTCTGACTGTTTCCCCCAGTCAACCAGAGTTCACAGCCTCATGGGTCACCCATCCTGAAGCAGAAGCCAGTTCTGCTTTTCTGACTTTGAATGTCTCCCCTAGTGATCCAGATACATTATCACTCATTACTCATCCTCTAGAAACCAGCCCACCTTTTTCCAGAACTTTTTTCCCAACCTTTTCCCATAGTGAATCAGTCACCACACCTTCAACAGCTACCAGTCTTAAGGCAGAAGTCAGTTCAGCCATTCCAACAACAACTTTCTCACCTGGTATACCAAATATGGTAACCTCACAGGTCACAATTTCTGGGACAGACACCAGTACAACATTTCCAACACTGACTGAGTTCCCACATGGACTGGAGACAACAGCCTCATGGGTCACTCAACATTCAGACACCAGCACAATGGTCTCCAGGACAACCTCAAGCTTTTTCCATAGTGAATCTGACCCCTCACCCTCAGCGGCCACCAGTCCTAGGGCAGAAGCCAGTTCAGATGCTCTCATGGACTGGAGACAACAGCCTCATGGGTCACTCAACATTCAGACACCAGCACAATGGTCTCTAGGACAACCTCAAGCTTTTTCCATAGTGAATCTGACCCCTCACCCTCAGCGGCCACCAGTCCTAGGGCAGAAGCCAGTTCAGATGCTCCAACTACGAGTATCTCACCTAGTGTACCAGATATGGTGACCTCACAGGTCACTACTTCTGGGACAGACACTAGTACGGCTACTCCAACTATGACACTCTCTCCTGGTGAACCAGAGACCAAGGCCTCATTGGTCACCCATCCTAGGATACAGACTAGCTCAGCCATTCCAACTTTCACTGTCTCCCCCAGTGTATCAGGGATGACAACCTCACTGGTCACTAGTTCTGAGGCAGAGACAAGTACAACTACTCCAAGTCTGACTGATCAGCCACATGAACCAGAGACAACACCTTCATGGGTCACTCATTCTTGGACAGAAGCCAGATCAGCTGTTCCAACTCTGAATCTTTCTCCTCATGAGCCAGATACATCAGCCTCTTGGGTCACTCATTCTTCAAAGACCAGGACACCTGTTTCCAGGCCAATCCAAAATTTTACCTACAGTGAATCAGATACCATACCTTCTATGGCCACCAGTCCTGGGGCAGAATCCAGTCCAGCCCTTCCAACAACTGTTTCACCTAAGATACCAGATATGGTGACATTACAGGTCACTAGTTCTACGAAAGACACCAGTACAACTTTTCCAACACTGATTGAGTCCCCGCATGGACCAGAGACAACAGCCTCATGGTTCACTCATCCTGCAGAAACAAGCACACCTGGCCCCAGAACAACCCCAACTTTTCCCCATAGTGAGTTAGACACCATATCCTCAACAGCTACCAGTCCTAGGGCAGAAGCCAGTTCAGCTATTTTAACTACAATTATCTCACCTGGTGTACCAGGTATGGTGACCTCACAGGCCACTACTTCTGGGACAGACACCAGTACTACTAAACCAACTCTGACTATTTCTCCTGGTGAACCAGAGACCACAGCCTCTCTGGTCACCCATCCTGGGACAAAAATTAGTTCAGCTGTTCCAACTCCAACTGTTTCCCCTGATGTATCAAGGATGATGACCTCACTGGTCACTAGTTCTGAGGCAGAGACAAGTACAACTACTCCGGCTCTGACTGATCAGCCACATAAACCAGAGACAACACCTTCATGGGTCACTCATTCTTGGACAGAAGCCAGTTCAGTTTTTCCAACTCTGACTGTTTCTCTTAGTAAGCCAGAAACAACAGCCTCATGGGTTACTCATTCTACAGACATTAGCACACCTGTTTCCAGAACAATCCCACATTTTTTTCATGGTGAAGCAGACACCAAACTTTCAATAGCCACCAGTACTGGAGCAGAAGCCAGTTCAGCCATTCCAACAACAGCTATTCCACCTGGTGTACCAGGGGTGGTGACTTCACAGGTCACTAGTTCTCGGACAAACACCAGTACAGCATTTCCAGCACTGACTGAATCCCTGCATGAACTAGAGGCAACAGCCTCGTGGGTCACTCATTCTGCAGACACCAGCACAATAGTTCCCAGGACAACCTCCAGTCTTTCCCATAGTGAATCAAACAACCCATCCTCAGTGGCCA